GTCCCCTTCCACACCATGCGCTTCCCAGAAGTCTGCACAGGCACTAACACTCCCTCCTCTGGTCTTTGTCTCTTTTCCAGGCATTAGGAGGCCACCTGATCTCTTTGTTCTCCAACACCTTCAGTTGGCACCTTGCAGGAGAGCGGCCCAGGCCATCAGTTGCCTGGAGACAGGATTTCGGCCATTCTCTGTGCAGACAGCATCACACTGGCCCTCTAGGGCTCTACAACAATCACACCCCCTTATCCCACCATCTAGATCCTTAAGAAATATATAGGGGAAACTGAGGCACCCACACAGTATTCAGAGAAAACATTAAGAACATTTCCACTTTGTAACACCTGTATACGACTAGTTGTATACTTTAAAGGGTGTAAAATAATCAAGTATTGTGCTAAACACAATGATACTCTAAACTGACCACCAAATTTATGTTGTGTGTTTTTCCCCTCAGGTGAGGGCTCTGGGGTGGGGCTGGGAATGAGGGGTTCATAGTGCAGGAGGGTGCTCAGGGCTGGGGGCGCAGGCTCTGGGGTGGGGCAGGGCTGAGGATAAGGAATTGGGGTGCAGACAGGCTCCCACCCCCCCCACTGGCAGCAGCAAGCTCCAGGGGAGGGACCCCTCCTCTCCCGCCTCCCCCCTGCAGCACACACACTCTGCACCACGGTCACTGCACATGATTCTAGGGCCTCTCTCAAGTCCAGAAAGCCCACTCGCCTGCCCTATGGTGGGTATTGGGGGGGGGGTGGGTGTTCTCATCACATGTGGCCTCCCCTGCTGCTGCCCCTCACCATAGCCTCACTGGGGATGGGATTGCCCCTTGCCCAGCATGGGGCAGGAGTGGGGACTGCAGGGTGGTGGCTGGGGTGGGGAGCAAAGTGTCACAAAATTCACCCAAGCCCCAGCTGCTCAGGTCTAGGAAGCCCCCCCCCCCAAGTGGTGTAGCCAGGTTTTAACATCAGGGGGAGCGAACACAGAAAAAAAGGTGCCACCCGCCATATCAAATTACTAATCAGGTAGTAGGGTTTACAGTGTTAACAAGAGATTATGCTATTACCATTATCCAGTCAACTTGCAGACTACTATTTTGAATTAGTGATAATTCACAGAGAGAGAAAGAAGAAAGCTGAATTTAGAGAACAATTATTAACCAAAAGAAGAACAGGAGTACTCGTGGCACCTTAGAGACTAACAAATTTAATTTTGTTAGTCTCTAAGGTGCCACAAGTACTCCTGTTCTTCTTTTTGCGGATACAGACTAACACAGCTGTTACTCTGAAACCTGTAATTATTAACCAGATTCCTGGTTATTCACCAGCCACTTTGCTCCAGTCCATAGCACAAAGCACCATAAACCCAGTAGAATCTGGCCAAGGGACTATTCACCTTAAATTGGCATCTGCTACACTCCCCCCCCCCCCATTCCCAGTCACCCCTATTCAGAAGATAGCGAAGTGAAAAGGTGGCATGGCTGAAGCATTTAGCAGGCAATTGAAAACTAGTCTAGAGTCTGTACAGTCCCTGAGAACACTGCTTCATTCTGAGCCCCGGGGCTGCAGCTAGTCACCAGTGAGACTGAGGAGACGTAACTGGCACCTTAAAGCACATTTACCCTCCTTCCTTCACAAGCTGCACTAAGCACAGTTTC